TCCTTTGTCTGAAAGTTGTCTTTTTTTTTCTCGCCGCCCCCTCCACCCCTGGCCGTTTTCAGGCTCCGGCTAACCACGCCAAGCTCAGCGGTGGCACGCACAAGAAGTACGTGAAAGTGGGTGGGCCAACGACGGTTGCGTCGAGGTCGTTCATGCAGCAGCACGCCGAGGTATGCTGCTGTTGTCGTCGTTGTCGTCTTAGTCGTTGTTGTTGTCTTAGTCGTCGTTGTCGTCTTAGTCGCCGTCGTTGTCGTCTTGGCCGTCGTTGTCGTCTTAGTCGTCGTTGTCGTCTTAGTCGTTGTTGTTGTCTTAGTCGTCGTTGTCGTCTTAGTCGCCGTCGTTGTTGTCGCTGTTGTGGTGGTTGTTGTTGTCGCCATCGTCGTTGGTGGCACCGTCGTTTTTCTAGTTGTCCTTGTTGCTGTTTTTTTTTTTGTTGTTGCCGTTGTTTTTGGTACATGTATAGTGTAGTTGTCATCTCGAAGTTGATCACTTTGCTCCGTGTCGCCTGCTGTTCCAACCGACAACGAACGAACGAGCTTCCTTCCTGTCATGATGCGATGGCTTTTCTCTCTGTTCATGGTTCTTTTTCTTTCGCACCATCGAATTACCACATCATCACGCCCTCCCACCAAGCCGATACCCCGACACAACAGGGCCCGACCTAACTTCATCTCAAGCCTCGAGAGGCGGGCCATTATTCGCAGAAACCCCACTGCTGCTGCCCGTGGATAACAAGAATTCAGTTTCCTGTGCGCGTGCCTCTCTCCATCTAATAAAAGCAAAACACCCCTTTCGTGATCGGTCCTGCCACCGAAGCAGGCTGCTGCTGCCGCTGCCGCTGTCGAGACGTCGCGGGCATCCAGCAATAGTGGGTCCCCTCCCCGGGCGATGTCGGCTACTTCCGGTAGCCAGGCCGGATCGGACGAGAAGGATCGATCGGTCAACAGCGACGAAGCCCTGGGAGTTGTGGACGAGGAGGCGCTGGGGTTGGGGGGGAGGAGAGACAGAGAAAAGAAGCAGCTCGGCACTAGGTAAGAGGTTGATTCCTGTTTTTCGGTGGTAGTTCCGGGGACCAGTCGTAGGAACAACACTCGCAAGAAACCCGGGTTCGATTTTAATTTTTTTTTCAACAGCGCTAACATGCTTGGAACCTTTTTTATTTATGAGCAATATGTAGCATGTTGCGGCAGACACCTCTTGCAGAAGGAAGGATGCTTGAAAAATGAAAAATGCTGCCGACACCCCCGTGCGCCTCACTTGAGAGCATTCACACCCTACAGTATTGATTAAATTGTACATACATTACAACGCCTCTTGTGACCCCAGCCCTCACACCCTGTCCCCTTCAACGACACCAACGTACACAGAGACAGCGGCGCCACTGCGCACGCCGCCGGGCAGCGCGGAAGCTACACCGGAGCAAGCGGCAGCGGCGGCGGCGGCAACAACGCCGCCATCGGCGGTGCGGCGGGGGCCGGGGACAACTCGGTGTTCAACCGCCTCCCCTACAGCTACACCGAGTCGGAGCGGAAGCGGAGACAGCCGGAGGCGGCGCCGGCGCCACCGGCGATCCCGGCCTCCTCGAACCCTAGCACCAGCAGGCAGCCGTTTTCGACCCGGCGGTCTTCCCAGGATAAGGAGGCGGTAGCTGTATCGGCTGCTGCTGCTGCTGCTGCTGCTGCTGCCGGGGGACCGCAGAATCCTCTGCTTCCTTCTCGACGTAGTGTCGAGTTGGAGAACGGCGGCGGGCGTTCGGACGAGAGGGGGGGGAGGTGACAGCCACCGCTAGGATAAGGCTTCGGCCCGTCTCCTTGTTGATGTGGCAGGGACGGGGGGCTCGGGACGTAGCCTGAGGGGGGGGGGTCGGATCGGAACAGACTTGGCTTTCTGTTTCAAATGGAACACGAGGGTCCAGCTGTCACCGGGGTTTGCTGGTCTGTGCGGGGAAAGGGGGTGTGTTTGTTGCCATGGTGGGGAGCACACAGCGAGCGAACTCATACACCCCGCCCCGTGGATGGTGGATGGGGTTGGAGCCGCGAGGGGTAACATGACGCTCGGTGCTTTTTTGCGGTAGGGTACCTCGGGGGGGGGGGGGGGGTCGTCCCAAGAGGATGGGGTTATTGGCTTCAATCGTGTCGAGGGGTCGGGTTGTTGCTCATCTTTATGGTCGTCTTGGCGCTCAGTGACGGCACGGGTTGGTTGTACATTAAATACTTTGCGACGCGCGTGACCCATTCTTTGCTGTGTGTATGTAAATCTTCCCGGCTTGTTGGCCTTGTGTAACGTTAATGGTGGTCGTTGCTCCCGCAATCGATCATGAGATGAGAGAACATCTGCTGCTGGTGCTTTTCGCGGCCTGCTGAACTTGAGACATGAGTGAGGTGAGGTGCTTGATTTTTGAGAGATTGTGTTTGTTTGTGTGAGGGTTTCCTTCGGGTATTGATGCGCGTTTTTATCGGGGGGAGGGGGGTTGATGTGAATGCTACGGTGGAGTGCTTGGAGCACGTCCGAGAGTAGTTTGTTTGGCTGTTGACGGTAGGCGATGTCGCCGAGTAGTATCACGTGGAGAGAACTGCTTGGGCGGACCAGAACATGATCGGTACATGTAGGGCCAGCGGCACTCTAAGCGGCATTTGTGTGTCTCTGTCCCTCTCTCAATAGTGGGAGTCTTCTCTCCGTGCTCCAATCTGATTAGTTGGGCAGGGGTCGCTACAGCATGGCATTCCCGCGGCTCTTGAGTCGCTCCTTGATGCTGCTTCTTCTTTGTTTTGGCGATTTTTTTTCTAGGTTGGGGGGGGGGGTCATTTCACCATTTTTGAGGTGTCTGTTGACGTGCAGACGTCAGCGCCGCGTGCGCGTGTCGGCGACATGGCAGACGTTGCTGCTACACGCGAAGGGTAGCAGCACTCTAACATGCTTACGAACCGGCGGATCTTACCCCTTCAGTCGTCATACTCACGCCATTACCCCGCCCACCCGCCCGCCAGTGCCAAAAGCGGAGTATTTGTTGTAGACGAGCAAGGAGGTTCAGGTTTCATCAATTCATTTTTGCCGGGCAGCAGCAGCAGTCGATCAGTCCACAACAACAACGTTGGTAGTAAATAGATTATTGTTCGGTGTGCATGTTGTGTTTTTCTTTCGTATTGTTTGTTTTTGTGGTCTACCGTCGGTTTCACTTGTTACCCAGAAACCCTAGTTGTCCCGCTTTTTTTCATGCGGTGTCCGGGGGTTGTTTTGGTTTACCAGGACAAGATGAAATTCAATTGCAATTATTTCTTCATCATTTCATTGTTTTCGGCATGGCCTTGTCGTGCATGTTGGGGGCTCGAATGCCGTCCTCAGAGCGGCTCGTAACACGGCTACGGTAGCGCTCCTTTCTCTCTGCTCACATGTGCTCATGTGGATGAGAGTTTGGTGCAGTGCCATGAGGTGCCCGTGCCACAGATACCGCGGGGGCAGCTTGCTTGCTGGCCGTTAGTGGTTTGCCGCGAACAAGCGCGTGATGGTGTGAGGGCAAACAAAAACCCGTTCCGAGGAAGCTATATTTGAGCACACGCCAACACATACATATGGCTGTCGGGAAGAGAGCTTGGTGCACAGCAGGAACAAACAGATGTTCTCCGTGCTTCTCTCGTGAATGGGGTGGCTCTTGTTATCGCAGAAAAGTAACGTGCTTTACGCTCATTACAGCAACCCACACGCCAAGACTTTTGAGGTTTTATCCACTAAAACACGGGAGTCATCTGCACAACGAGTCAAAAGGTGTACGAACCCACACGCCAAGACTTTTAAGGTTTTATCCACTCAAACACCGGAGTCATCTGCACAACGAGTCAAGCAGATGTACGAACCTACACGCCAAGACTTTAAGGTTTTATCTTCTCTAACACCGAGGTCATCGGCACAACAAGTCAAGCAGATGTACGTGCAAGATTAAGATTCGAGCGTGTCGAGCTAGTCCGATCTTTTTTCTGCGTTTCGTCGTTTGCACAAAATTGACAGCGTGGAATGTAACTGTTTGAGCACCAAGGCCTTGTACGTACATCTGTTCCGTCAGTTCTATTGTTGTGGAAAGAACGTCGATCACCGAAGGTGAGAAAATGCGAAGTCGCCTCCCCCCCCGCCCCCGGACACAATTTAAGGTAGAACGCCTCCTTTCACGACACGGGATCGCTTTCCTCTGGTACAAAACTGCAAAGAAAGAGGGTCAAGTCCCAAAGCTTGTTGTCGTCACTACCCCCTCCGGAAACAAAAGCAGCGTTCCAAGCCATGCCGTCGCACCTGTCGTCGATAATCGAACACTATAATATGATATCATCCTGCTCGTCCCTATCCCCCCCTTGTTCTTCATACCCCAAGGCGCCCGCGTCAGTTGGACCAGACGGATGTTTCATGTACTACTACTGCTGTACGAGCAGTGATCGGAACATCTTTTTTATTCGACGACAACGAAACAAGAACAACAACAACGAGAGAACCAAGCACGAAAAACCACGAGACCACGAGATACGAAGCCGAGGAGCAACGGCAGGGTTCCACATACAGTACAGGCCTGACTCAATCCATGTATGCATGCATGTACGCAAGCTTGGTGGTCAGCCTTCGACGAACAAAATTAGCCCCCTAACGTACGCGTTCCCACTGCCTAATACCTAAAAACGTTTGGCCCAGACACCAACACCAACCGATTTATTGCCGGCGAGCGCAGAAGCACGCTCAGTGTTTGTGGAAAACCTTGCCGGGGCTGATTCATGACCACCGCCCCTCCCCCCCCTTCTGCTGTGCACGAAAAATATAAACTTCGAAGTATACTGTACGATGCACGAACAAGAGACAAGAAAATGATGTCACGTGTCCCCGGTGGCAGCCTTACCAGTTGCCTTCGCCAGCCGTCTCTGCAAGTCCTTCACCTGAATCAACGCCGCCCGCGCCATGGACAAAACAGTAAAAGACAGCAGCGGGCCAGAGCAGGCACAGATGCACCGGCAAGGGCCAGCCAGTTCAGAGAAAAAAGCGCCAATTAGTAGGAGTAGCAGTACTTGCCGAAAATGGACTAGTGCTGCAAGAGGCTTGTTTTGTAAGGGGAAAATATCTACACACAACAATGTGACGAGCGCAACGACCCCGAAAGATCTATCGCACCCATGCCAATAAGTTCTTCATTCGCCTATCATTTCGCCAAAGCCTACTTTATACCTACAGCAACAGGTCCCCATGTCCCACCTTCTTCTCGCAGAGCGTGCTGTTGCGAAGGGCATACTTCTTCATGAGCCACTCGGCCTCCCTGGCTCTCAGCACGCTCTCTCTCTCCGACGCCACGCTCTCCCTCAGCCGCGACACCTAAGGCCAAGCCACAGACACCCACGATGCACCGTCATGATAACATAGTGGTAAACATAGCAGCCCTGGTCTACATCACAGCTGAGCCACACGCGCCACATACCACACAGAATAACAGGAAAGTCGCGAACGTGATACACAAGAAGAACATCGTCACGTCAAATCAAGACCATCGTACCACCTTTATCGCCGCAAGCTTGTCATCATCGCTCTGCCCTAGATACAATACCCGATTGACAACACCCAAATATTTTGAAGTCGACGCTCAACACTGAAGAACAAATGCTATTGTGGCATCGAGGATACCATACAACCGCATGCATTCATTCACACAGTAGCTTGAGAGAGGGAGGAATGCCCCATAAAGCAATCGCGGATACTAGGTGAAGGCAGGCAGACAGGCATTTACCCGAGCAATCACGACTACGATACTCGATAATCTTCCACCTTTGCGAAACGACCCACAGAACAACCAATTAAGGACGGACCGCGTGCCACAACAACTAGCCGCGTGAGCTGTCAACGCGCTAGCAACACGAGGGCACCGCTCGCTTCTGACCTCTGCCTCTAGCGCTGCAACCTGTGCCTGTCGTTCTTCGCTTCCAAGGCTCGCTTCTTGTCCCTCGGCTTTGACGGTTTCGACCTTCCTCTCCAGTTCTTGCTGTCATCATGGCATCATGGCGGCGTATAAACAAGGTGCGAATTTTGGGAAGGGGGAAAAAGAAGGAGAGAAGGGGGCCGGAGAGAGAGGGAGATGGAGTGGGAGAAGTGAGACAGGCCCGCAGGGAGAAGCCGACAGACAGAAGAGAGAGAGAGAGAGGGAGAGGGAGAGAAAGAGAAAGGGAAAGAAAGAAAGGAAAACACATGTGTGTGGTACAAAACGACTTGCATCAGCTACAATTATTGCACAGCCGAGGCTGTGTTCAGGGATACGCTACTCGTACAAAAGAAGATGCTTCAAAAGGGAAGGGATTACAAGCGAGTCGATTATTGTGCTTGTACGCAGTATGGAGGCCCGAACCAGAATAACTCTGCAGGACGAGGGTTGGCCTTCTTCGAACCCAACCTCTTGACAGAAACAGCAACAGCACACACCAACAGCAGCAGCAGCAGCAACAGCAACAACTGATCTGTGGATACTTGGACTTGCTATGGGTCATGCAGGGACTAACAAAGACGGCACTCCCTCCATCAATCTCACGTTCTTCGATACCACTGTAGACAGCCGTGCTTCCATCTCCTCCAGCTCTTGCTGCTTTGCCTCCCAATCTGTAACTGAAACCGACGGTGGAGAAGTCGCCTCCCTATCCTCGCAGCAAAACAGAATCGAAGGAAGGGACATCTCGTTGAAAAAAACAAAACAATCTACCGACGAATTGCGGTCAACCAGGTCCCATTACAACGGCATGGTGATATATCCATACTTGTAACCACACAAGAATTGGTCATCCTGTCACAACGATAAAAGTGTAGAAAAAACTACAGGTAATAATAGTACGATTTCAGAGCGACAGGCAATTTCCGCAGAGTACGTGGTACACAACAGCGTCAGCTATCCACCTGGACACGGGTTTGGAGCTATTGCGGCAACAACACCATGACTTTTAAAGCGATCTCAGCAACGACACCATGACTTTAAGCTCACCTTGCCGCCGCCTTAGCCTTGAGCGCCGACGCCTGCGTAGCCAAGCCCTCGAGCTTCTCGTGCAGCGCCCGGTTCTCACCCTGTTCCATCCGGAGCAACGCCAGGGCGTGCCGTTGGTTCGCAAAACAGAAGAATGCAGACAAGGCCCCGAGCTAATGAGGGCTGCGTTTGAGGTGTACACCCGGCGATCTAAGGACACCTACCACTGCCGCTCTGTTCGTGCAATGCCTCATCCATCATCCCGCCCCCCGACGACACACCATCCATTGTGCACCCTTGATGGGCTCGTCAGGCGTGTCCTTAGTGCTCTCCTACAAAAAACGAGGCACCTCAGTCTCTGTTAAAGAAATATTTTCGCACCTCCATGGCCTCTGCCTTCTGAGCGTAGGCCCGCCGCTCCGCCTCTAGCTCCTCTCTCCGCTTCTTGTTGTCGGCTTCCTGCATCACGGCACACGGCACCCCAACAAACAAACAAAATAAGGAGGTTTGTAACAAGGTTTATTGGTTTTGGCAATCGAGCCGAGGCTTTCGAGAATACGACGGTCGGGATCTTCATTGATGGTGAAGTAACCAGCTAAACGACGATGATCTAACAGCATCGGCCTCGCCAGCAACATCCGAACAGAAACAACACGGGAGGTAAGCCGTCCAAATACCCACAGACAACTGAGACTGGGCTCTCGCTCCTCCTTTCATCATCATCACCTTACACAACCGCCACACCAACAACAACAACAACAACAACAGCACAAACAGCACAAACAGCACCACCAACAACAACTACACCAACTGCACCAACAACGGCAACAACAGCAGCAGCGGCAGCGGCAGCAGCATCCACAACACCAACAACAACTGCTACACCCAAAACGGCAACAGCAATAACACCCCCAAAGCAGCAGCAACAGCAACAGCCACAGCAAAACACCATCAACAAGAACGAACAACATTTTGCTCCACAATCGAGACCCCCACCAGCTCTTGCATCCGCCGCTCTTCCTCCGCCGCCCTCCTCGCCTCAGCCTCCTTAACCTCCTGCTCCCCGGCGGTCACGCTGGCGGCGATCGCCTGCTCCGACAGCTCCACGTTGATGACGAGCTCGTTGGCGGCGGTCTCCAGGCGCAGCTTGAGCTCCTCGCGCTCCCCCTGTCCCCTCTCAAGCATGCCGGCCAGGCGCTCCACCTCCCGCTCCGAGTGTGCGCGGGCGGCTTCCAGGTCGGACACCGACGCCGCGTGCTTCTCGCGAACAGCCTCGAGCTCGGTCTGGTGTTGTGGGATGTTGTCGCGGGAAAGTGAAAGTGAAAGCGAACCGGGGACGGGCGGGGGTTGTTGTCAAACCCACGACTAACTTCTTCAAACCATTAGACTACCTAGTCAGCGCTGACTTTTTGTCTAGTGGCTGGAGTTCGGCTTCTATAGGGCGTAGTAGTGTTTTGCATGCCTTGCGTTAGCGGTTGGAACGCCGACCACGCGTTCTCGAGAGGGCGGGGCATTGTTACCACACGGGGATTCTATCGGTGCTACAGTATCCAGGTCATACCCTCACGGAATGAGGATTCTTCAACACAACCTGATGCTGGGATTGCCGCCTTATATACACAGTCATGGACGTTCGCACCCCGACACGATATTGTCCGGGACACGCCAGATTTTGGACGACCAGGCGGAAAGGGTGCGGGGGGGAGCTGGACTCTGACTTGGTTTTCTTTTCGGCGGGAGGCACCCCTTTCTGCAGAAAATGGCACGACTGAATGCAGAATTTCCTACTCGAACGCGTGGTTGTGTAGGCTTTTGAGATACTGCAAGGAGTTCCTGCATTCCTGCTGGATGCACAAGCTTTAAGTTTGCCAATCTCTTAACTCACCTCAAGCGATTTGGCCTGCTCCAGAAACGTGTGAGCCTCGTCCAAACCGAAACTCCGAAGGGCTTCCTGCAGTGCAAGTTCCAGATCCGTCACAGCAGAGTAGCCATCATCGCAACAACGATCCACGGGGGAAGGGGAGAAGAAGGTTCAGACTTCTAACCCTGCTTCGTTAAATGACCACGGCTGGGTTTGGCAAAAAACATCACGCTCAACGTAGCGAGAGTCGAGATGCGGTACTCAACCCTAAACTGATCTATCCCAATGCGTCGCACGGGTACAGCACACGCCACTTCATGGCTCGAGCCTATCGAACACTTGGTGAATATAGCAGTCACGTGCGTACCATGTCGGCCGTGAGCTTCTCTAGCTCCTCTCCCAGGTTGTCCGAGGCCTCCTTGCTCAGCCGTCGATCAGCCTCCCGCTCCTTTCTCCCCTCTTCGTCCTCCCCTTCTTCCTCCTCATCACCGCTCGTTGCGGTAGCTTGAAATACACGTCCCAGCAGGTGCTCGAGCACCCCTTCAACCACCCTCGCCGCCTCCTCTTCCTGCCCCCCTCCTCCCCTTTCTTCCGCGAGCACCGCCTGGGACAGCAGCCCGTACGCCTCCTGCAGGGAGGCCTCGAGGACGGCGTGCTTCTCGATGACGCGGGTGACGCTCTCGCTGGCGGCGACGAGCCGCTCGAGCTGACCCTCCAGCGCCCTCTTCGCGCCCACCTCCTGCCGGTACCGCTGCCTCCAGTCCCCCAGGTCTGCCGTCGTCCTCCTATGCAACCCCTGCATCTCGCTCCGGAGGGAAGCCACCGTAGACGCGTGCTCCTTCTCCCGCCGCGCCGACTCCTCCGCCAGCAGATCGCGCTCCGCCACCAGCTCCACGCACCGTCTCCCCGAGGAAGCCGCTTGCGTCTCGAGCTCGCCGATGCGGGCCTCGAGGGCTTCTTTGTCGAGGTCCCACTGGGCCTGCGCTCCAGCCTTCGACGCTGCTGCTGCTGCGTCGAGCTCTTCCCGCAAGCGGTCGGCCTTCTGGCGCAGCGCGTCGTCCCGTTGCGTGGCGGCTGCGAGGTCGGCCTTCATGGCGGAGACGGCCGCGTCGCGCTTGGCCAGGCGCGTCTGGAGCGAGCCCCGCTCCTCTCGCAGGAGCTCGTTGTTGGTCTCGAGGTTCTCGACCGTGGCTCTGAGCTGCTCCACGATGCCGCTGCCGCTATCGCCGCTGCTGTCGAGCTTCTGGGTGCGTAGCAGCTCTAGCTCCTTGTTGGCCTCCTCATGGCTCTGGAGCAGCGCTGTATATCGCTGCTTGGTGTTGGCCTTGCTGGCCTTGAGTTGCTCAACCATCTCGTTCCGCTCGTCCAGTGCTCGTCGGGCTTGACGGGCCTCTTCCTTCAACCTGGCCAATTCCGACTCTGCACGCGAGAGGTCGGTGGCGAGTTGCGAAGCTTCCTGCCCGGCCACCGACGTGCGAGTGCTCGCTTCCCCTTGTTGCTGGAAGACTTTGAAGCCAACACCTGCTGCTGCTGCTGATGAGGTACCTCGTATTGCCGAGCCAAGCTTGCGTCTCCTGTCCGGCGTTCGAGCTGGCGTGTTGACGACATTTTCCTTGTCCAGCTGTTGGAGAACGCCTGGCGAGAACAGTCCTCCTCCGCTTCCTGCGTCTCGTGCCCCTGGCATGACTTCGGCGTGTGCAAGCTAGTGCAATGCAAGAGGCAAGCAAAGAGCACGAGCCCCCAGCTAGCGGCGGGTTTGCTGCCGTTGGTCATTCTTGACGACGTGAGATACCGCCTTCTGAACCAAAATCGAAAACCTGAAAAAAAAAAAAGAGTAACGGCCGATCATTGAGACCCCGAGGCCAGCTGCGAAAGGGCAAGCACAAGCACTGTCGAATCAGGCGACTCCTGCCCTGACTTGGTTGCGCGGCTGTTAACCTGGTACATCCCATGTATAAGAAGAACTCTTGGCACCAAAGAGTTGAGGAGTTGTCGCGTAATTTCACTTTGGATTATAGACTACATTGTCGGCGCAGTTTAAATTTTGAATTTGGTCGGTGGGTCGGGCCCTCCGTTCTTCTTACTCTCACCGCCATTGCTGTCGGGTTTGCCCTTGTGCGCTTGTGCGCGCGCGCTCAGCAGCTGGAATCTTGATGGGCCTGCGTGTCACCACAATACCACGACATATCTTGAGTATGCAACCCTTTAGTCCTGGACGCTCAATAGGGGATGAGACACAGCACTCAGTGCAAAAGTCATCGGTCTTCTACTACAATATAGCCTGCGCTGCGTGTGGCCCCTTGTGGTTCACCATGCTTATGGGAGGTGGTACGAGATGCCTCTCGTCGGCGTCTGATTGCTGTGCCTCCCAAGCCGCGTGTCCCCTTGTTGGTAAACGTCTGTGTATAGCCTTGAACTGGAAAAAAATACTGACTTGGCTTCAGTATTGAGTGTCCGCATGCATATCCTACCAAGTTGCCTTACGTCGGGACTCTGATAAAGTATAATGCCCTCCCAATGAACGGATGCCATTTTTGTCTGGACCTCTAACCTGCAACTAACTTGGTTCTTAGAGGGATAAACAAATGATTCGGCACGTGTGTTGGTTGGTGTTCGATTTCTAATTATAGGTGTCAAGCACGCCATGATAACGGGCACAGCAGTGCTGCACCGCGCCGACTTCTCGTACTGGTACTACAACAGTGTCCTGCCCGTCATGACTGGCAAGCAATCATGCGCTCAGTCGCACTTGAAGCTCGGTACCGCGCTGGCGATGCAGAACTTCATTTACAGCCGTAACCCAAAGAAGCACACAACCCCGTCGACCGATTAACACGCCGGACAAGATCTTCAACATGCTTCCCCAGAATGTAGGAGTTCCAAGCACCGAACGTTCTAGAACGTTGCGACGATGGTCGACAGAGCCTCAAAGTTGCCCCAAGCATACCCGAACACATCAGACACGATCTCTCGCTTGCATTGAATTGGTTTTGATAATCCGAGACGCGCTGTAGTCGCACGCCATCGCGACAGGTGGCGCATCGATCCTGAAAAAATGGTAACTCGACATCGAGCATTGAATCCATATATGCTCGGCTCGCGAAACGTAGCATGCACTCGACTTGGGCTATACAAATGGGGGGGGATAGGAACAAGGTCATGCTTATCTAGAGGTTCACCAACAACTCACTCAATGTGTTCACAGAATGGTGAAGAACCGCCCCCCAAAACGTCAACAGAAACACGATGACCTGAGAAGGCTAAATGTTCATCAAAGCATTCTCGTATGCCGCGGCTTGTCGGCACCACGGTAAGCCATCAAAACGTTACCGGGTATGAGTGGGCCATGCACTAGGCAAACGATAACATTCCGTCGTCCACACCACCCGAAAATTACGCCACCGACAACAAACATCCAACACATTTTCCCCACAGCGCATTACAGTTCCGGGTCGTCGTCCAACAACAATTCCGCATTCGGTGCCGGAGCCGCCCCCGCCTCGAAGATGCTAGCGCTAGCGGCACCCAGGTCCTCCTCGCCGTCCGGCCCGGCGTTTGCGTTGTCAAGCGTCATCGCGTCCAGCAGCTCATCCAACCGCACCTCCTCCTCATCCATCTCTTCGACGTCCTCCATCGCCCCGTCCCCATCAGCTGCCGCCGGCTTGGCAGCGAGGCCTTGCTTGTAAAGGTTGACCTGCCGCCGCATGTCCTTGTCGCTCTCGAGCTGCTGCAGGAAGCGCTCGTAGTCCTTCTCCGCGGCCGCCTCGTCCCTCTTCTCGCTGACCCCGCCCCCTCCCCCGCCGTCGCCTCCGTCCTTCTCCAACTCCCCGAGCTTCCAATGCCGGTCCGCCTTCCCACCCCCCTCCCTGTCATGCCGAGGGTACACCTTTCGCACGAGAACGACGTCCGGCAGGCGTCCCTTAAGGTCCCCCGTTGCCTCCCCCTCCGGGAGGTTGGCGGAAGAAACGTCGTACGCTAGCACCGTGTCGCCCGCCCTCAAGATGTGCCCCAGGTGCGAGACGGCGGTGACGCGGTCGTCATTTCGCCCGAGGTCGCACTCTCGGGCCAACTCCACCTCTGCCACGCGGGCCTTGCGGATACGGTGTCCCCGGCGGGGTGCCGAGGGCCGCGCTTTCTCCGGAAGGGGCTCCGTGCCGAGAACCACGTACGGGACCAAGCGGGTGCTGCTCAGTAGCGACGGGAACTCGTACCGCCAGTACTGAACAAGGAAGTTAAAACGGAATGGGTCCGAGAGGGGCGGAGTAGGTGTTCAGTGCTCGGTGTCAGCGTAGCCGACGGAGTTGTTGGCATAGCAGTCAGGCACTTGTGATAGGGTGTACCAGCAAGAGCCTTCCATCTATTGTTTGCAAACCATCCGCCAACGCTGAACCTGCTACATAGACTGCTACAACAATACAACGCCATGTTTCGCTTGGCGAATGCACAGGGGACCGTGTTAATAAAGCTGATATGACTAATCTGTGCAGCAAGGCAGCAGTAGCAACGAAGAGTCACAGTAGACGGCCAATAGCTCTTTGCGCACCGGCAGGAAGCTATTCACTAGCTGTTGTGATAACGTGAATCACTACCACTACCAACATAATAACGGCGTCGCCCCGATCCCCGTCAATTTCCCTATCGCGTGGGCATGTACCTCGCGACCCCAAGCGTGTTCATCAACAGCAGCAGCAGGAGCAGCACTTGTGGCCATCTACAAACGAGAAAAACAAAACCCAGTATCGATTGCTGCTGCTGCTGCTAGGAGTGTCGTGTAGTTTATTCTGCACGTCAGAGTTTACACGTTGAGGACGTATATGTTGTGATCGAATCAGCAGGAGTTTTCGGTATTTTTCCTACTCTTTCTCCACCTTGTTCCTGCGGTGCGTGCCTATATCGAGAAGGATTTAGTCATACCTTTCCCTCGCCGGCCGTGAAGTCGAATGTGAGTTGCGTACGCACGAACAAATCACTTTCCACAATACTTGGGAACATTGCCAAAGAAAACAACCAGGTCGCGTGACTGCCCACCATGCCAGCACCCACGGTTCCAACGCCAGAAGGTGGCGAGAACATAAACGGAACCCCTCAAGACACCGTTGGGTCACTAACGTGTCACCTTCTCTTCCGTAACGTCGGCCGTTTGCGCGGTCAAGGGATCGACGAATTGCACCGCGCTCGTTATCCTCTGCGCGACCGCCAGCCGCGAGATGTTGCCGAGGGATTCTGCCAAGCGCTTCGGCAGCAGAACCAGGTCGTCCTTGCACACTGGCACCAAGGTCACAAGGTAGGTGTAGTGGAAGTTGAAGATGTTGGAGTGGTTGTCCGCCGATACCAGCTTCTTACTGTGCTTCACCTGTTGGTGTGGTGTTGGCGAGAGATCCACAGGCAGGTGTGAGTGTGTTAATGTCGTGCCGATTACTTGTGGACACGCATATAGGTGGGTTGGCGGGGCAACACGGGCTCCTTGGCGTTGATGCCCCCATCGTCAAGGTCCCCTGGGCTCGATAAGAGGCTAGCCCGCGGTATCAAACACTCACCTAGGGCCAAAACATCGAAGGATGAAAGCCCCATCGTGGAGGTACGGCAGGTCGCGTAGCTACCAACAACGCCGTGTCTGCACAAAATGGCTCTCTGGACGCCATCACACGAACATGGTACGCTACAGGCTACGTGTGAAACCACCAACAGACAGCAGACAAGTTGACACCATGCCGCGGGCTGCCTTGGGAGTGCAAACGAAACAGAACTTTCCACGCGATCGACTCGCCTTTGTCGGGACCACCCCTTCCAAAAAATCAACGAAGCGCGCAGAGTGGCTCTTCTCAGTAAAGTAGAAGTCCATGCCGTCTTTGAACGTCTGCATTCACCAGAGAGCGCAACGGGAAATGAAAAGGAACGTGTGGTCAAGCTACAACAGTGGATAAAAGGCGGCGGTGAGAGGCGTGGGGGAGACGGCAATCAATCTTGGCTGGCAACGCAGTTCCACTCGCGATGTAGACAGTAATGCTGTCCATATAGCGCGCCGATGAACACGACCAACACAGCAGCAATACACAAAGTGGAAGTATGGCTATGTTGTGGAGAAGCGCTGTCGATGCTGCGAGCCAAGAGTTACGGTCAGGCCCAAAGGCTAACGAAACACACATGCGTCGGCGCAATGCGACCCGGTGGAGTGCAGATGCAACCTTCCAAGCGGTGTAACTATAATAGTGCTGCTTGGTGATGGACCAGACCGATCACAGCAGTACTGCAAACATGCCACCTACAACATCCGCACCTGAATGTTGGTGCACTGGCTGTGCGCGTTGTGCTTGAGGATGAGCTGCTCCAGGTAGAAGAAGGTCCTCTTGTGGTCCACCCTCTGCCGGACCTGTACCACCGCCGTCCAGGTGTTGTCCGTGAACGCGGCCGCACAGGTATCGCACTGCTGGTTCCGCACCACGAACGTCACCACCATCGCCTGCTGCAGCACCGCACCGTTGCCGACTTCCTTCTGCACCGTGAGCTTGACCTTGAGCCGTCGGCTGTGAGGCTCTGTCCAGATCCAGGAGGCGTCGACCAGCTTGACCTTCTTCAAGCCACTGATCTGGACCATTGCGAGCGGGGGCGTGTGGGGGGAAAAGGGGGTTTAGTCAAGGCGCCCCCTGTTACGGCTTTTACCCAAAGCGAAAAGCTCAAGGTGAACGAGCAGGGTGAAGTATTTGGTCTGTACACGTAAGCGTAGACGACCACAGTCTGTGGGACCAACAGCAGGAGCAACTTGGTCCCCGACCCCAAACGCTTTGAGAATAGGGATTAGCAAAGTTAAGCAATGGTCCCGCCATGTACCGACACAGAGAAGCGCTATAACTACCAGAACGCACACGTTGCCATGTCTCACCTTTCGCAAGCACACGGCCATGAGCTCCCGAGACTCGAGCTTGCATTCCACCCACCCAGGCCTCAGGTAGCGCTGGCACCCGCGGCACTGGTGCATGGTGAGGTTGGTGGCAATGCCCTCCGTGATATCAACCTGTGTCCTGATGCACAGGACACACATCGACGTCGGGTTAGGCGGGATGGGAAGAGAGCACATGCAGCACAGGATTGTGGGCATTTGCTTCTCCGGCTCCGGCGGAGGCGGGGCGGCGAGCCCATCGGTGGGAGGTGCAACAACCTCCATGACGGATATATTTGGTTGATTTCCCGCCCCTTTTTTGCCGAATCCTTCTGCTTCTATCGAACAGCGAAAACGACACTATACGCTACACTAGCAGGGCTCTGGGTTAGTGTCGAGGCCGGGAGTAGAGGGTAGGGGGTCGGACGGGGAGAGAGCGAGCAGTGCTCCCTTGATTTGGGTGGGTGTGGCCAGTGCGCCAGTGCGGCGGAATTACTAGAGGCCCCGTGATATGGCCTCTAAACACCCCCCCTCAATTTCGCCCCGGTGGCCCAGGCTGGCAAAGCAAAGGGTGGCCACACAAGCCTCACGCACCCTCCTCTGCACGCCCAACTCCCCCCCGTGTCTACTCCACTCTGCAAATATGGGAGAGCAACTCAAGTTCCGCGGCCAGCTGGTGGCTCACGAGGACTGGGTCACGTCCATCGCGGCCACCTCGGAGGTGAGAGAGAAGTCAGCCCACCCAAGGACAATGGCAAATATCATTTGAAAAACGAGCGAACCGTGCGTGTGTATCCTGCCTCCCCATATTGGGTGTATGTGGACGTGCGGACGGGACCGCGCGTAGCACAGCAGCTAGATAGATGGAGGGTCGTTCTAGTCTCCGAGGTGGGGGTGCCATCAGTTCAACTATTTTGATATGGTTTGCAGCTGGCAAAGACCCATTGCTTCCGGCAGCGAAGAGCCGATTAGGGAAGCCCTGCTGAGTGGAAATGACGCGCAACACGCAACTCCCTTAAAGGTACTGCTGGATGTAGCTGTTGGGTGACTGATTGCCGTTTGTCGAGCAACATAAACCATACATGAAGACTCTGTTCCGCCGTTACCATAGACTGCAGTGTTTTACTACACACGCTGTTTTTGTGTTTGTTTTCATTTTTCTCTTTGCTCATGGTTTTCAAACAGAACCCGGACATGATCGTGTCCTCGTCCCGCGACAAGAGCATCATCGTCTGGAAGCTCCAGCGCGGGGAGGACCAGTACGGTTACCCCCACCGCTCGCTCACCGGCCACTCCCACTTCGTGTCTGAGGTCGTTATCTCCTCCGATGGACAGTTCGCGCTGTGAGTTGTTCAGATTTATCGAAGTCCGTCTAGACATGACTGCTGCTGCTTGGGCGGGTGTGATGTCCGCTATGCCGCGAGATGGTGCTTTTTGACGCAATGGTTCCTTGATACACGCTAGCGCTTGATCGTTCCCTGTCCAGAGCTGTGCGTACTCGGTGCCGTACTTATAGTAAGTCCCAGTTGCACCACTAGCACGGGAAGAACTAGCAGCAGCATGGACGTATCCAGCATTTAAGCCCTGTTCAGTGTTGTCGGTACTCTATAGCGCTGGTCGATCCTGCGCCGAGCCACTGAGAAAGTGTCCTGGTCGCTGTGCTGTCAGTGTGTCTGGCCCAGTTGCCACATATGTGCTGTTTACTACAGGACAGAACAATCAGGCAGCACGTTGCAACTGGGCCGACGAGACTGACAGCAACCAGGATACTCTCTGAGTGGCTCAGCGCAGAATCGAGACGCGCTACAGCAGAATCGACGACACGGAACAGGGCCTAAATGCTGAATACGCCCATGCTACTGCTAGTTCCTCCCGTGCTAGCCTGCATCGGATCGATCTGCCGCGCCCTTGTTAGCAACATGAAGACCGAGAAATAGACACGAGGATTAACACAAGCCGTGGTATTCAACCGTATGTTCTGATGTGTGCGTTAGCTTGAAACCAGAGGGTCACGGTAGATGGTACAATAGCCCCCGGAAAAGGGTGCTGCTGACAACGTGCAGAAGGTGCCGGGCGCGAAACCTATCGACATGTCGCAAGCCCTACACAGGGGAGGATGAATCTCAGAAACACCGTCTCTGCGCTTGAATCGCACTCTCCAGTTGCCCAATATCCCGCATACCACCCTTCCATCGGGGTTTCTTTGTCACTTTCAACAGTCTCGGCCGTGAGCTGCCGTCGATGTCCTTGCTGTTGTTTGTGTCTGCATTGGGTTCCTTGAGTAGGTCCGCTTTTGTCAACTAAGCGGCGTGCCCACCTTTACACATGCACACCCGGTGCTCCCTCCCGTTCCCCGACGAACGAAATGAACCGGATCAGGTCCGGGTCGTGGGACGGAACCCTGCGGTTGTGGGAGATCCAGTCCGGCCGCACCACCCGCCGGTTCGTCGGCCACGCGAAGGACGTTCTTTCGGTGGCCTTCTCGGCTGACAACAGGCAGATCGTGTCTGGGTCCCGCGACAAGACCATCAAGCTGTGGAACACCCTCGGGGAGTGCAAGTACACCATCCAGGAGGACGTGAGTACTGCTGCTGTTGCTGCTGCTGTTGGTTGTGATTGTTGTTGGCACTGTCTTGTTGGGGGGTGACTTCTCAGAGTTTGCGCATACACCTTTCGTCGGAACGTTCCGAAATGTGATTGCATATATATGTATTTCATATCCTCCAAGATGGCTTGAGCTCGGATGGTAGGATATTTGATATTTGTAAAATACCTGGTGTGCTGCGGCGTATTCGGCAGCGGTCGTGACATGATACTTGCCGTTCAGTGACAAGGGAGTCCATTCGACTCCGCCGTGTTGAGGGGTTTGACACGCAAGGGAGGCGTGAACAAGGAATTTCGAGAGTAAGATGTTCCGTACAAAAGCGGTTGTTATATGCCGGGTCTCAGCAGGCGTTGCCCCTCGAGCGTTTACGCGCACTGCCCAAAATGGGCGGAGCGCGCGGTTGGCGAGGGGTGTCATGAACCCGAAGAAAGATTGCCCATGAGGCAACCAGTTTTAAAAGCCTGCCCCGCCTACTTCTTGCCCGTGCACAAAAAATTGTGCATGGGCATGAGGTTGTTCCGTGCGTGGTAAGACCTGTCGACTGGTACATGTGTTTGTTGATGTTGTTAATTAATACGACGGCGGCGTGGCATTGGTGATTTCATCGTTTTGTCTACAAGGGTGTCTTCTAACCGCTGGTAAGGTCCACCAGAGTGTAATGTGTTGTGTCGGGGTATCAATCCCGTCAGTTTTCTCACACAAGACGTGTTTTCTAGTGCTTTCTGCTTGTTATGGTATCCACACGAGGTATCCGAATTTGGGGTGATCGCTTGTGGCCTTCGTGAGCGATGTCAGGTACAATATTTATTTGCAGTGGGAAGTTGACATGTTTACCCTTTTTTGCCTCCGAAATGAGGAACAGCCTTATAGGCCATGTACGCTGCCACGAGAGTGTAATGTGTCAGCTGCAGCCCATAAATCAACACAACAGGTGTCGGATGGAGATGCTTTCCAAGTATGGATGCACCGGCCCAAATCAGCTATTGGACCAACTGCTTCCCACGTCGTACATGAGCTCGACTTGTGCCTGGAAGAAAGGGCTGGCTCAGGCTGTTCCATCTGATCTAAGATACAGTATTGAACAAAACGATTCTTGAATTTCCCTCCTGCTTTGGTTGCCCTGTTGCGCGGCGTTTTTTACCGGTTGTTTCGGCCCTGACCATGAACAGGGTCACACGGAGTGGGTGTCATGCGTACGGTTCTCCCCGTCGCCGTCCGCCCCCGTGATCGTGTCGGCGGGATGGGACAAACTCGTCAAGGTCTGGGCCCTGTCGAACTGCAAGCTGCACACCAACCTCATCGGCCACACCGGGTGAGACAACAAGCGAATGTTGACCTTGCTCTCCCTCCACGGCTTAGATTCGTGCCGAGTTGTGTTGCTTGTGTTTATTACGTTTTGGCTGTTTTTTCGGTTGTGCTATTGTAGTGGTGGTGGGAATGTTGGCTTCCCTTGGTGTATCGGGTGCGTGACTACGGTGATCGTCTCTCCCCTCTTGTCTTTGCATTCTTATTCTTTCGGCCACAATTGTATCGTAGTACAGTAGATACTTGGACACGGTGACGAGTAGTCTCTGCTCACTAATGTGAATTCCCGGTGTCCTGAGAAGTACACTCCCACTTGTTCCTCCGCACTGTTCTGTGGATCACCACGCGCACGCGAGATGCGGTTTTAACGAAGACCTTACTGCCATATGCATGTCGTGATACCAGGTACTTGAACACGGTGACAGTGTCGCCGGACGGGTCGCT